AGGGGAACCCAAGTTTGTGCATCATCCACAGTTCATTAGAGGTATAAAGTTGTTATATTGATCTTTCATTTGATAGATCCCTTTTTTGGGGAGATTTAGGGCTTTTATAAGCCATTTTTGGTTACCAACCATGATTGCAAGCATGGTTGGGGGTTGAGGCTTAAGAATTAGGTCATTAAGGGAGTCACAAGGCAGTTAGGGGTTGCTTTTGCACCTATGTAAGGTCCCATGTATCATGAGGGCTTATTTTATGTCCTTTTGAGATCAAAGTCTCATGCATGCACGTAAATTTTGTAACTTTACGTGCTAGAACGATTGAAGGAGCTTAGATCTATCTTTTGGTCAAGAGTTGTACGTTGGAAATCGAGAAATGAGACTTGGACATACTCGATGAGTCATTCTTAGGACTCGGCGAGTCCGAGGCGAGACTCCTCTTTTATGTTAGGGTTTGAAGGAACCCAGTTGAGTGCTAGAAGGGTTTTTAGAGGTTCCAAAGGAGTGACCCAACATATTGGACTTAGCCTTAGACCTGGATTTCATGGGACTCAACGAGTGCTAGAACCGACTCAGCGAGTCCAAGGCAAAAAGGATGAGATTACAATAATTAATATATATGTACGTTATCAAAATACCCTCACTTTGGACAAAAAGGATGAGATTACAATAATTAAGCAAATTTGATACACTGTTAATTCTCCATCTTGATCCCCTCCCCCCCCCCCCCCCCCCCCCCCCCGAGAAATCATGTCTCATGTCATCAATCAATACATATATTCATACATATGCCCAATTTATAGCAAAAACACAACTTTCAATGTTTACAGCTAAATGACATTATTTGATGTTTCACATTGTTTGATTTTTGATGTTTCTAACTTTTTAATAATACTTTGTGAACGCAAATTCAATTCCAACTTACATTAAGAGCATTCCTAAGTAACTTTGATTTTGCATTCTATGTCATTTTCCAAACACTCTTTCTTTAAACCAACATTCATTCACTAATGTCATATTTTCCATTCAAGACTTGAACTTAATTTCAAAAATTACCTTTAATTTATGTCACAGAAGAGGATTGGAAGGCAATTAGATTGATGGCAACATTTTCCATCCACAAACAGAGTTATTTCAACAATAATAACCATTGTTTAATAGGTTCTCCTTAGTATATATAGCTGTTACAGACCCATTATGACCATTAAATATCTGCCAAGTTCAAGTCTAGTAAAAGAACTATAACAAGATAGAAATGAAAGGGCATAAACAAATGTTAAAAGAAAAAAAAAACTCAGCTACTTATCCATCTTTTTCTTCTGCCGGATTCAAATGAAAAATCACCATTGTGCAAAGCAAGCATATAGTAACAATCATTATCAACGGAACCATGTTGATAAAGGGATATTAAATAGTAAAAAAGGGAAATAGTCAAGTTAACATACCCCCAAAACAGAACAATTGATAATAATTGGCGTCAAGTTGGAAATCGGGCCTCAACACAACAATGGTAATAATTTTCTCTCCAAGTTGTAAACGTTAATGAAATATCTGTTTCACTTACCAACTGATACTTAAGTCAGAAAATAGTTCCTGAGACCCAAATCAATTGTCAAGTTAATTAAAATATAGAAAGAAAAATTGATAATAATTGGTAGTTGATAGTTGTGTTACCGTTATATCTTCATCAGTAAGTCCAATGTGTAATTGGGAGACAGTTTCACAATACATAATCTTCTAATCTAGGTGCCTTCGTCAATTTGATAAATTGATGATTAGGAAGCCAAGTCAGAACCTGTACATAAAGATATCGACTCATAGTAATCTGATTATTAACAAAATATAAAACATTGACCAAAATGAATCCTTAAAAAGATCCAAATACATAAAATATTTCCAAATTCTTTGTGACGTTTCAATGAACACCTGGGTGCCCAACTCAACCAAACCATACGAATCTTAAGTAAAGAGTAAAGACCCATGTCGCCTATTTAGGAGTAGGTTCTAAAGTATTCTCATTTTCAAGTTTGCAAAAGTCGACATATCTATAAACCCTTAAAAATTCATTATCGGTGGCTTGAGGAGGTAACACATAGTGTAGTTGGCGGTGGGTTGTTTCAGGCCTTTGCAAGAGGTAGAAGATGTGGTGGTCCAATCATGGCTCTATAGAAGAAATAGAACAGACTAAAGAAAAATGTAAAAATATTACTCCCCATCTTCAAGGATCGGTGCAAGGCACAACGCCACCTTCGTCGATATCCCTTATGTTCGTGAATGGGGCAGCGTTTCTAATTCTGATCGATACATGGTCCGACGTCTTCTTCTCCCATCGTTCTCGATATCAAATGGAATCAACTGGAGGTGGGTACATTGTTGCAATTTCTGAAAAACAAAGCAAAGATTTATTTTGATGGCATATAGACAATGGGGGAAAGCTATGTAAATATTGAAGCGGTAACCTTTGACATTGATTGGTAGAAGGCGGAGGGGCTAAGTTGTGGAATGATGTGGAAGGATTGGACGAATTAATGAGGGCGGAGGGAGTACATGGTGGTATACCGTGCGATGGCAACATAACACAAGGGGAAAACCAAACACGTAGTTGATAGAGTAGGAGAAAAACGCTACGTAAATGGTAGAAGAACGGTTGTTAACATGTGTAATTCACCAACAATATCAATTATCAAAAAATAAAGCAAACATGAAAAAAATAAAGAAAAAAAAATCAGCCAACTGAACAAAGTCCTGTTCATAAAGAATTTTAGAATTAGTATAATATCTAATAACTAAAATTGGTTTAGAAATCAATTACTCATATTGTAAAGTCAGAAGGTAGAAGGACGGAAACTGAATAGTAAGATTATATAGGGATCATTTGTGTAATTCTCTTGTGTCCCTTCGAGTTGCGGACATATCATGAATCGCAAAGAAACCATGTCAAAACCCTAATTTTTCAGCTTTTCTTGTTCAAAGTTTTCGTGTTCATTTGTGTAATAATTTCCATTTTCTTTATTATTCTTTTCCAATGGCGACGACAGAAGCAGCAAAATTCAAGAAATCCGACCTTATACCGATCCCACAACCACCAGATTACCACCCGGAGATAACCGTCTCGCCGCAGCACGACGGCCTGCACTTTTGGCAGTTTATGATCGCTGGTTCCATCGCCGGCATGGTCGAACACATGGCCATGTTCCCAATTGACACAATTAAAACCCGTATGCAAGTATTAGGATCATGCCCCATTAAATCTGCTGGACTCCGACAAGCTCTTCAGTCGATACTCAAGTCCGATGGTCCCGCCGGTCTGTACCGTGGAATCGGAGCGATGGGACTCGGTGCAGGTCCGGCACACGCTGTTTATTTTTCCGTATACGAGATGTGTAAAGAGACGTTTTCAAGGCAGCACCCAAATAATCCGGCAGCTCACGCGGCGGCGGGGGTTTTCGCGACTGTAGCAAGTGATGCAGTGTTTACTCCAATGGATATGGTGAAGCAGAGGCTGCAGTTAGGGAGTGAGAGTCCGTATAAAGGTGTGTTCGATTGTATAAGAACAGTGTTGAAAGAAGAAGGATTTGGGGCTTTTTATGCTTCGTATAGAACAACGATTTTGATGAATGCGCCATTCACGGCTGTCCATTTTGCGACCTATGAGGCGGCGAAGAGGGGTTTGTTGGGTGTCTCGCCGGATAGTGCCAGTGATGAACGGTTGGTGGTTCACGCTACTGCTGGTGCAGCTGCAGGAGCATTGGCTGCTGCTGTCACTACTCCACTTGATGTTGTCAAGACTCAGTTGCAGTGTCAGGTATTTCTTCACAAATCTTCTCTATTTCCTATGAATTGCTTAATAAGTTATTGAAGAAAGAAGAAGTAATATCTTTTTTATTATGCTTATAAAGTTCAAATCTTTGATAAATCTGTTTATCTTGTTTCTTTTTGTCATATCTGAACTTCAAAAGTAGCTTTATCCCATCCTGTTTAGTGATGTCTAAAGTTATACTTATCTAGACTAAGATAAAGACTATGCATATCTGCTGAAATATATCTATTTATATGTTGATGAATCTGAAATTGGAATGAATGCAGGGTGTGTGTGGATGTGATAGATATGCAAATGGTTCAATTAGGGATGTATTAAGAACAATATTGAGAAAAGATGGATACAGAGGGCTTTTCAGGGGATGGATGCCAAGGATGCTTTTTCATGCTCCAGCTGCAGCCATTTGCTGGTCAACATATGAAGCTGGAAAGTCATTTTTTCAAGACATAAATACCGATGATAGAGGTAGCAGAATGACCTAAAATAGTATAGGTAAAAAAAAAAAAAAAAATCAACATTCCCTTTTTCTCTTGTTGTTACATCAAGATTCAAGACACAAACACACTCCTCTCATCTCCTCTTACATAGAAAAGAAAAGAAAGATCAACTTCTCCAAACTGATTGAGTGCTAATGCTTCCGATTGTTATAATTATTCTGATGAGCTTCAAATTGGTGTGATTGGGGACAAACAGAAGAAGGGTATGCCATTATTGTTTATGGCATGAGCTGTATTATTGTTTATTGGCTTCAAAATTGTTTATCCAAATCTATTGAGTTTTTTTATCGTGCAGATTTATCTGTAAGTTTTGCAGGAAATTTTCACTAGTGTCTTTACCACTGCCATGTTATAGATTTTTGCTGACCCAAGTGAAATGCTTAGATGTTGAATAAAGTTTTAGAGCTTGATTAATACTAGTTGTTTTAAATGTGTACTTTGATTTATCATTAAAAAACTAAACTGTGAAACGATAAATTTAATTTGTCAGAATAAATGATTTCGAATGTTGTGATCACTTGAATACTATTTAATCGTTTATATTTTGGTTACTTTTGTTAATTTTGTATATCTGAGTAACAAATTAACCTGTTTAATGATAAATGAACCAAAAAACATTTTTTGTGTCTGTTTTACAAGCAATTTATCACAGTAGAAAATAGAAATCATATCAATGACAAACAACAAAGTTTGGTGGTGAAAGGGGTTTCCATGCGTTCTATTTTCAAACTTTACCTTCAACAAACAACCAATAATACAACAATTTGTATCAATTCTTTGCAAAAACCTTAACCTAAAGTTTAATAGGAAACATTTGTTGGATGTTTATACATTGACCAAATCTATATTACTCTCGACATATGAACAATACCCATTGAAGCAATGATTGATTATTTCAATTGCTTACCACTTCACCAACTATTACAGTTATATCATCCATCTTTCCACCTGCATGGTAACAATAACCATCAGTCCTTATATTGTTCTTTCACTTGCATCTTCTAGAAAGTTCTAGAAAGTTCTACAAGTAAAAGACAACATCCATGAAACTATAACAGCTACTATTTACTAAAATGCTATTAGCCATGCCTGTTAGCTTTTGTCCCACAAGTTTTTTCCACCATGGCACATCAAACCCCTGCATATCAACAAATACATACAATTTACGCCTTTTTTTTTCCAAAAAGGAAAAATAAATGACAGATTTGTTAAAAATTTACTCTGGCTCTGGCTTCAAGTGAATACGGGGATTCAAAGTAGAAGTCCACTGAATGCTTGTAAGCAAGATCAGCCAATACTTTTGCTACAATTCAAACCAAAAATTTTAATCAGTTGCTTAATTTAGAAAATGTGATAAAAAGGATTTTCAAGAAATAGTTACCAGCTTCCACAACATCTTGATGCTTGGTAATTGTAGATACAATTTCATGATCAAATACGTTATCAAAAAGCCCATCTGAACCCATCACAATAATGTCCCCCTTCATCGAATCCACACTTGTAACCTAGACACATGTATTTTTATTTTTATTTTTACAAGGTAAAAAAGTTTGAAAATTTGTTTTATACAAAAAAAAGGATTTGATAATTTTGTATACCGTGGCATCTAGATATGTCTGGGTGACTGCCTCTGAGCTCAACTGATATGGGCAATCAAAATAATGCTCTTGTGGAAACGTGGAAAATATTATTTGGCCTAAAAGGTTCAAGATTTATACAAAAAATATATATATATGTCACTGATTAAATATATTTTTGTAAGAGATAAGAGCTTCATAGAATCTTGTGTTACCTTTGCGAATAACCCGAAGCCCACAATCACCAACATTGGCAACCTTCAAAATCCCATTCTTGTCTAGCATGGAAACAATTCTACAAACCCAAAAGCATTAATGTAAATATTGGGAACATGTAATAACTCGATGTTTGAAAAAGACGTAAATGCCCTCATCAACAAAAAGCCTAAACGTGTAAGTGATTGGTGATGAATTGGAATACATGCCAAAACATACACAGTAGCTGAACCTGTGGAAGAGGTGGCAGCATGTGCTTTCCTAACAAGAATCCGTGGATCATAGTTAACCTATAACATCATTTCTATAGGGATTAGATATATGAAATCACAAAAAAAACATGGCTATTGTACGTCTAATAATGTCATATAATAAAATGATGAAGATACCTCCTCATCCTCAACTAAAGATGAAGCTTTTCTCATAAGTTCTCTTGAGAATTGTGCTGGATCCACATCCTTTTCAGCCCACCTACCACAAAAAGGATCAAGAATTGAAAATCAAAAGGTTATACGCAGTTTAGCTCGATGTATACTGTTCACAAATTTAAAGTTGTGAGCTCCAAAATTGCTTAACATGACAAAGGAAGAAAGCAATATAATACCCGGAAACACCATCTGCAACAGCAATAACTCCACCATTGTAACTGCTCACAAAGAAAGCATCTTCCCCACCTTTTGCAACCTTCAAACAGATTAACATTTAGAAAGAATGATCCAATGGGAAACAAAATTCATACCTTACTCACTGTAAGGTAAGGTAAGAGGAACAATGGAACATACCTTTTTGGGGTGTGGAATGAGTTGAGTTCCAACACGAATAGACAACTCTGGCCTACAAAAACAACAAATAATCATGACTCAGGAGTCCTTTGTAAATTAACATCTTATCTATCAACATTAGCAAGCAATACCGGAATTCGTTTCATGGAGCAGAAATACAGTGACTGAATTTTAATCAGAAAGTGGCGACTCAGAAGGAATGGAATTGAAAATTTACAATTGAATTGGGGATTGCGGAATTAGAAGTACCTTACTATAGGAGTGGATTGTGGAGAGGAACAACGAATGAAGCTCATCAGTTTCTTGCTGGGAAGTTGTATTGCAATTCCATTATTAGAAGACACGAATTGATGATGACGAGAATAAGAAACTGTGATTGCCATTTCCAGTCGTCAGACTCCGACCACCGCTGCTCAGCGGTTCGTATTTCACACACAATCACTACACAGCAAGGATGGGTGTGTTTGAATGCAGAGGTTTGATAGACATTTTGCCACGTCATCCTTTATTTATGAATGAACGATAATATATATTATGTGGGCTTGATAATCACCAAAGCACCAGTGGTCTAGTGGTAGAATAGTACCCTGCCACGGTACAGACCCGGGTTCGATTCCCGGCTGGTGCATTTAATTATGCCATGATGAAGATTGCGCTACATGTGATGTTGGTTCATCACAGCTGTTCGATATTTCGAATTAAAGTGCTTCTGAGCATATTTATTTTTTTAAAGAGAATCTGATCGCTTTTGATGGAGGTCATTTTGAAGTAGGATAGCTTTTGGTGGACGTAATGTATTGTGGTACGTGTATATTATGTTTTGGTTGGTCTCTTCCATCTTCAGCCCCTCTATGTTGCACTCCCCGGCAGCATTTGTCCAAACATTATGATAGTAACAAAAAATATGTCTCACTCCACATTCATAGCAGTTACAAAATCTCATCTACAATAACATCTAGTGGCCTCATGAAACCGATGGTGTCTCAACGTTCTCCTTGAAGTCATCTTGTTGTTCTCCCTCTTTAAGAAGATTGTAAAAAGGCTCAATTTTTGGCATTCTAATATTCTATAATATAAAACCCTCTTAGGTTGTAGCAAAGTCTTTTACATTCATTGCTACGTTTGGGTTAGTTTATGACGGTCGATAAAATCCTCTAAGCGGCAAGTTGAAGAAATGTTCATGGCATAAGCCAGTGGAAGCAAACAAGAAATCATTTGCTTGAAGGACCCCAACTTTTTTTTTCATAGCTTCCCAAATCCCAAGTACCCGTCTTTATTTTATTTTATTTTTGTGTGTGTTTCTAAAAGAGAAAATACCGTAAATAGTCAAAAAATGGGGGGTGTTTTCAAAAAATAGATATAAAAATGGACTTTTCCGGATATAGACATGCATTCCGCGGAATGGCAAAATCGTAAATAAATCAATGTATCAAAAAAAAAAAAAAAACACTAATAACCCTACTGACTCGCCGAGTTCATATATACAGAATCCTTCCCTTCACGTCTCGACTCGCCGAGTCAGTCCATGACTCGCCGAGTCTACCGATTTCTGAGTCCTGACCTGTCCAACTTACCGAGTCTCCACCCGACTCACTGATTCGAGTCTCAACTTGAAGGGTTTGGGGTTTCGCAACCTGACTCGCCGAGTCCAAGAACAGACTCGCCGAGTACAAGGCAATCTTCATCTGACTCGACGAGCTGTTCATCCCACTCGTCGAGTTGCTCCTCATCTTCATGCTACTCGCCGAGTCCACTCAAAGGACTCGCCGAGTCCATACAAATCTCCTTACATGCAGAGGACTTTTGAGTCATGCATGGACTCCAAACTGTAGATCTACCCTTCCCAAGCCTATTCCTCACGTAAATTTGCAAACTTTACGTGTAGAGAAGGAGATCTAGGCAAAATACACCATAAACTAGGGTTTAAAGCAAAGAGGCTCCATAAACTAGGGTTTAAAGCAAAGATCTACCCCTTGGCCGACTCGCCGAGTCGGTCACTTACTCCTCGACCCGGATCCCGCTCGGACTCGCTGAGTTCATCATTGGACTCGCCGAGTCGCCCTTTAAAATTAGGGTTTTCTTTCCTTTCTTGGCCTTCCAGACTTTAGGTGTTACAAGTCTCCCCCACTTAAACTAAACTTCATCCTCGAAGTTTGCTATGATCCACCGCCTGCGATCTGCATCCAATACTCCACCAATTAGTCTAACACCAGCTACCTAACTTCGCTGGCCTTCCGCTTAGTCATTCAGACTGACATCAATCCTTACGGATAAAAATCTTGGGTCCATCCTGACCCTGAACATTCTGGAAACACAACTTACCCAACCGACAATCCTTCTAATACTCTCCGAGTACTGCAACATAGGGGTTCACCCCTTCTTTCCTTGCGCGATTTCCTTGCCTTCCCAAGGCAACGCTCCATAACCATCTATCTCCTCTACCACTGTGAAGACCCTGTCTTCACCCAATCTATTACTCCCGCTACTCCCAGTACGGGTCATCATCGCCAGTATCCACTGGGCATTCTTTCTACTATCATTTGGTGTCGAGCACCCCTCGATCAACTAACTGAATTCCACCATACGCTGCATACTCGCACTGCTACTGACTGGAAATTCTGCTATTCCTTATCTGGCTTCCGGAAGAACTGAGACCACCCTGGTCCTTACCAACCTATCAATATCTGGATTACCGGCTCCCACCGATCGCTGACCCAACACAACTACTAGTCGCTCCCAGCGACTTTCGAAGAAACTTCAACCACTTATACTGCTCAGTCTATTCTACCATGCTGGCACTACAATTTCCTGGGATCCCCGATCCCCTATCTAGGCACTAAGATCCCTAACAGGTCCCACCTGTGCTGCTAAAACTCACGGGCCTCACCCACGGGTCTCACCCGCCCCTATCCTTCTAGTCTCGCTTGCCTAACTACTCTTGCAAGGGCCTCGCCCACGGGTCTCACCCAACCATACTAATGAGAAACCTTGCTCTCAAGTCTCACCTACACTGCTATTCTCATACGGGCCTCGCCCACGGGTCTCACCCAAATATATCCTAGAACGGCCTCTCCCAAGGTCTCACCTCTCCAGGGCCGTACAGGCAAACTCCTTACCATTCTCATTCATTACCCATTCCTGATACCTATCTGAAAGCTAGGAGATAAGGGACTCGCCCCAACTCCGCCAACGAAGCTACTACGAAATGCTACGGCTTACCCGCAGTCTTACATCACCCTCTATCGCTGTCTGCTAGTGAATGCTACGGTTGCCCCGTAGTCTGACAACACTTCTCACCACTGACTGTTAGTGAATGCTACAGTTGCCCTGTAGTCTTACAACACTTTCCACCACTGATCGCTAGCGACGAAAGCTGAGGCTCTCCCGCCGCTCTTCTATGCCCTACATGTTGTCTCTGCTATGATCTACCAACACGAAAGCATCTCATGCTATCTGACCTCAAGATCTTCGTTCCGACTCACACGAGTCCTACAGGCGATCCTTCAACCTGAATTCCTAACCACATACTAACCATCACCAATACACGCACTAGCTGAGGGGGAGTTTCTCAAACTCCTAACCCTAAACTCCTCAATCATCAACTAATATGGTATTCTTCTAAATGACACTAACATATTTTAAATGAAATATAATTATAATATATTATCTATGTAACTAATATGATATTCTTCTAATATGTGAGATTCGTCTACTATATGACCCTAACTATGTGGGATTCGTCTACTATATGATATTCTTCTAATATATTATATTATAGTATAAACATTATATTTGGAAAACCACTTTGAGTTATATTGTAGTTTATAACATTAAATTTGTGATGGGCTGTATTTGACACACATTTGTGTATTTATATCTATATTATATATTTAAAACAAATGTTATATAAACATCCAACCTAAATATTCATCTTCAAGTTTTCTTTCTTCGCCACGTAAACAAACTTTTGTTATAAAGCCAAAAATAGAATAAAAGACACTTAATTGTATGATCATGATATATTGTATTTCGATTGGGGCTTGTACAAAACATGCATGAGCATATATTATTAATTTATCTCTTGTTTTGGGTAATTCGAATAAGATATCTTCAAATCCGACGTATCAAACGGATTACCCATTTACTAAAGTCTAAAACCCAAAAACCCAAACATGTTTTAATACCATACAAATGCATGAGGTTTTAACAAATTATTATCTCATATGAATTACCATTGATTATGTGTGATTAATTATTAAAAAGGTGAAAAGGTTTGGGGGTTTCAAATGCATGAGGTTTTAGCAAATTATTGTGGGGGTTTCAAATGCATGACAATCAAAGAAAAATGCAAGCTTTATAAGTATGTAAGATACTTCTCCATCTTTTAGGACTACGGTCCGACTACTTCATCTTTTGGGGCACCTAACAATCTACACAATCTTCACATTCATCAACATCAAGTTCTTCGTTTTGATCTTTTTATGCCTAAAAACGATAATATCTCTTTTGGATTATTATAGATTAAAATCCATGTGATCTTGACATAAGATTGAATTATTAGTTAAGGACAATGAACAATAAACAATTCATCAAGATATTTAGGAGCTTTTTATCGTAAAAAATTGACTGTTATTCCCTTATTTAATATCTTTATTACACAGTGGACAAAATCGAAGATTCCTTGAAATTCATGGCATATAAAAACCCGCCTAATCAAATTATCAGTTAAGGACAATGAACAATAAACAATTCATCAAAATATTTAGGAACTTTTTATCGTAAAAAATTGTCTGTCATTCCATTATTTAATATCTTTATTACACAGTGGACAAAATCGAAGATTCCTTGCAATTGATGGCATATAAAACCCCGCCTAATTAAATCTAGGGTGTTGCTAATAAGACACCCCTTAGACACCCTATCATCACTTGTATAAAAAGCCAACCTATAATCAACTACTTGTAATCAGATTTTTCGAAAAACAATGCAATTTCAACCAATAAAAGCATTTCAAAAATTAATTAGGGTTGTATAAATGGTAAAATGATGTGTCTTTTTAGCCAACCCCTTAAATCTAAAGGGTTGCGCTTTAGTATTTTCATATTTAATTTATTATTTGTTTAAAGTTTTATTTATTGTATGTAATTTGCTTTTCTGTTTTGACAAGGGACTAGGAAATATCGAATTGGGATGAGTGGTCAATAATTTGCTAAATATTGCAATTCTTTTCACTGTTGCACTCTATTGCCATGGGATTCAGTCAGCAAAGCAGTGACTTTTGCTAAACTCCATGTTCAACTTTTACACGGTTTTGGAGTAATTAATGTGAAATATAGCCGACGTGTATATATAGTAATGGAAATACGTACATAGCATCAAGCACCAGTGGTCTAGTGGTAGAATAGTACCCTGCCACGGTACAGACCCGGGTTCGATTCCCGGCTGGTGCATTTAATTATGCCATGATGATAAATGCGCCCATTGTGAT